AAAATGGCATTTACAACAATGGCTACAAAGGCCTTATTAGTGTACACTCATAAACAGTCAAGAACAACAACAACACGACTACCACCACCAACAACAACGACGACAACAACAATAATAATAAAATGCCTCAACCTTCAGCTTATAAACTTTGGCCATTGACCACACTGGCCTTACAGTTAACAGTAACCTTGTATTAGAAATAACAATATTTTCCCCTCCACACTTTTTACTCATTAAATGTTGCTTTAACAAATTAATTCTTTCAAAACTGGGAGATGATAAACTGAAGGAGGTGAGTCTTAGCTGCGTTGATGGTTTTTTCCACATCATTTTTCGGTTCCAAATAATAATAATTTTATTTCTTGGAGCAAAATTATCATTTTTATCCTATATTCTTGCAATATTTCACGTCAACTTGTAGTATCACGGCACCCACATCGGAGAAAGTTTACCACTAAAATGGTTATATTTAATAATCTCAAAAAAGCCAACCGTAATATTTAAAAATGAATTTGGAATCTTTTGTCTGATAATTTCTATTCCTCGTTCTAAGATAAAATGACAGGAGTCCGTTTATATCCAGGCCAGTTCTGAGGGCACTGCAATAGTTTCTATACCGATCACAAAATTAGCGGCGGATGAGGGGGAAAACATTCAAAAATCAATAACATTCAAAAACGAAAACTGAGGTTTGCCGCTCTTTCATTCTCATCTTTCATCTTTAGTTCACGCAGAGGCAAAGACTGCCGATATCCTATCTGAATCATTTATTACTTACTGTGTGTGCTTAAAATGGGCCTTTTAATCTCCTATATGACTCTGCCACACCTAAAATGATCCTTCTAAAGTCTTGAGATTAACAAACACAACCATAAACTTTTCTTCCCCCTTCATGCAGAACTAAGAAATCCAGAATTGCTTTTGTTTACCAGAACAAATCTGGTAATAAGACCACAAGGCATATTTAACAGCTGGCTTTGGTGTAAAATACACAATTTATTGGTACAGAAGCTTTGAGGGAAGTGACCAGAAGATGAGAAAACTCACCATATGGAAAGTCCATACTCGTGCCGACCTGTGTTTGATCATTGACCATATTATTCCTCTCTTCTTCTTTCACCTTTCCTGGATTTCTTACACTTGAGGTGTAAAACGTAGGAGTTTGCCAAAGCTTTACCCTGAGAAAGGTGTTGTTGGTGCAAGGTAAGGCGGGTACTCCTCTTATCTTATTGATTTTCCTAATCTGGGCAAACGTGGGTGGAGAGGGTTACACAGTAACCAGCGGCCTATAGGGCAGCTGCAGCCATAGCAACAGTGGTGATAGAAGCAAGCTTCCTGTTTCTACCATGCCTTCTTTCTCGTTTCATTTAGTCCTTCTCTTTCATAAATGGTTGGTTTGCGTGCTGCTTTTTTCAAAGCCTAGCAAGACAACAACTCTGTAAATACAGGGGGAAAGTAAGGGTTTGTGTAGGACCAGACAGAACATTCAGTATGCTACAACTTTGAGACTCCCAGCCACACTTGGGGATTTGAGCATCACTGCAATGTTAGTCTATGCGGGTCAAAAATGACGGCAACTTCCTCTGCAGTTCATTAGCATTAATGTAACTGTATGTTTCAAAGCTGCTGTGCATCACGTGACGGCTGGAATACTAATGTAGCACAGAAGTATTATTTTGTAAATTATGCCTCTCGAAAAATTCATCTGCTAACTTAAAATGGCGGGATTGGGTTTTATCTCATTTCCTGATTAGAACAATCCTTCTTATGTCACGGTGTGAGACTGTGCATCAGTGGAATGGATATCCCTGGGAAGCCGGGCATGATGTGGGAGATTGGAAGAGAGAAAGGCGATGAGAAGATTAATTTCTTTCCAATCAGGCTGGGACAGGACCGAGCTTGTGGCTAAGGCATCGAGTGCAGACTCAAGTTGCTCCTTCAACTCAGTCAGGACTTTTCACGTTGATATATAAAATAAACTGCAAAGGCTGGTGACTGAATTCACAGATTCAGAATAATGACTGATGCTGTCCATAGAGATTTATAGCAAAAGTGCACAGAATCTAAAATCAGTTTATTAAATTAACACATGCAGAGGATTCGTCCTAAATGTTTGAAAATGACTACATTTATTTACGAATCTGACACCATTATTCAAAATAACCTGAAATTTAATGCATGTATACAGTGAGATATGCTATAAGATTCAGATATTGTGTTTAGATATTATATTCATTTTTAGTTTAACACTTGCTTACACAAACATGTGCAAGGTCCCTTCTGGGTTTTCTACAAAATAGTCTTGCGATACCAAATAATTTGCATCACTGCCTTGCTACTTATGGTAGTATTGCTCAAAGGAAATGAGCAGGCATAAGAATCTATGATATGCTTGTACTTGAGCGTTTTAATGTGAACTACATGTGATTTTATATTACTTGCTATAAGGGTGTCCATTCTACCATAGATCTTACAGGATTATGTAAGATAGGTGTCACTTTGGTAGAGATTTTTATCAGCTATCATTTATCACTAGTATTTCACACAGGTAGTTACAGCCTTTAGTGTTACATACAGGTAAGTTACAGGTGGTTACAGTCTGTAGTATTATGTAAAGGTACATTTCAGGTAGTTATAGCCTGTAGTATTATATACTGATAGCCATCAATTTGGAACATTTTAGAGTATGATACAGATACAAGTGTCATAGTTGGTAGAGACAATTATATCACACACAAGTAGGTTTCAGGATATTACAACCTATTATATTACAGCGAAATAGGTGTCAGGTTGGTGGAACCAATAGTATTATGCTCAGGTAAATTTCAGTTGGGGGGGGTGTCATAGTATTACACACAAGTTGCTGTCAGCTTGGTTGAGCTTACAGTATTACACACAGGTAGGTGTCAGATTGATAAAGTTTCTCCTTGGCTATGATGCTTCATGCACATTCCACGCTGAACCAGATATCCTGGGAAATGCCGTTAGGGGTCTGCCGGATGGAAACAGCGGTGCAAACATCTAAAGGAGAAACTCAGAGCCCAGGGTGCAAGAACAGGCTCAGAAGGACCCAGACGATAAAGTGGAAGCATCTTCCATCACAACTAGCAACACAGTATCAACATGCTTTATAAATGTATCAAAATGTAAGCAACTCAAATTTCCAAAACACAACTCACAAATTTTCAGTTAATTTCTCCATGAATATGACTCACTTCACTAAACAATGTGTTACTTGGTCACATGCGGCTGTTTATAAAAATTCTCATTAATTAAAAAGGAATTAGGCAAATATAGACTGAAAAACACATCTTATTGAACTTTTTCATGGTCTACTCAGTATTTCACTGCTCAGTAAGTCAGTCATGGATGAACAGATCATCTGAATAAGACATGCATATATGATATTTAGGTTTGATTAACTTTGTCGATGCCTGAGATTCTTAAAAAAAATTCTTAAGTTTTTATATATATATATATATATATATATATATATATATCTTATATTTGTTTGTATTGCATGCAGGATCTGTGTCCATGTCTGGAAAGTCATGGGTTCAAAACCTGTAGCCCGAACAGTACTCATATCTCCATTAAAGCAATTTACTCCTGTTTGATGCAGTTCTTCTTGGTTCAGTTTGTTGCTTTTGTAATATGCTAAATAAATAAATAAAGACCTTTTATTTACTTTAAGATTACACTGAGATGATAGATACATATCTACAACCTGACAAGTCACTGATGTAACCCTGTATCCCTCAGACTTGATGGGATCTTTTAAAACTTCTAAATGAAAACTGATTTGAAACTCACATTAACTGAAGGGAGACTGTGGACCAATTCACCCACCTTGTTAGAAAGTAAACATTTTCTTTGTAAGAACCTGATCTTAGAGATTTAGAGTGTTAGTAAAGATTTAAATTCTACACTGTGTAAAATATTTTAAGAAACCTTGTATGATTTCTAAATATGCCTGAAGAAACACAAGATTGCATCTAGTAATAAAAGGTAGTAAAAATCAGAATGAAAATATAACATGCAAACATTACATTATTACATATTATTATTATAACAAACATGATTAAAAAAAATACAGATACTACTTATAATCACATTTGTTCATCATCTGTCACCATCTGCTTATATACCAACTGGTCGTTGTGAATACTGGTGTTTAATATAATATTTATTAATGATTTTTCCACCTCACTGGCATGCATAAGCAAACCTGAACATGAATCAAAGGAGTCAGTCTATGTGCTCTTGTCAGAAAACTGAAGTACTTCCTTACCTGTCATTCTTCTTCTATTTTATTCTGATTTTTATTGAGCTTCTTCTTTCATCCACAATGGACAATGGTAAACACAATCAGTCATAAATTTACCTGCTGAGCCACACCCCATTGACACTGCACATGCAAAATGAGAGCAAAACGAGCTTAAACCTTGGGAGGAGACCACACCTTCAATGTGCGATGACCATCCAATACCGGTACTCTGAACAACAATCAACCGTGCGTGTTTCACGCTCCGCAACTAGGTCACCTCTGGGAACTTCACAGCTATTATTCAATGTTACTTTCTTTACTCAACCAGGGTCATGGAAAAAAATCCAATGAGACCAATTAAGTGAACATGAATGAAGATGAAGGTGGGCAGGAAACATCCTTGAGAGGTTAAAACAGCATCAGAGTTCATTGCACCTGTCCATTAAGAAATATAGGACAGGTCCAGCAGCAAGAACATTGTCTTTAATTCTCCTGCCTTTATTAGTTGAGAGGCCACTTACTGAGCAGGTCAAATAAGGCAGAAGGACCTAACAAATCCCAGTCTGTCCTCAGCATAGGAGCCCTCATTTATAACATCAGAGGCGCACGTCTAAAGGTTTTTACTGTACACAAAACAAAAAAAGACGATGCTGTGAAAAGTGCAGTATATTAAAAAGGAAGCAAAATTTGTAATGTTGTTCTTCAATTTGAAGAAAAGTGCACCTTCAGCGACTGGATCACTATAAATTACTGGCAGAACTTAATGCCAATTATATTTATTATGTCATTTGAACCACAAATACAGCAATACTACAGTATAAATAATCAGGCATGAGTATGAGCAGTTTGACCATTTAGACTAAGCTTATATTTACCTTTTAATGAACTGCACGACAAAACAACAAAAAATGTCCCTCAACAGAGATTTCTTGATTACCTCTTACTGAGATTTTTCTAAAAAATCTATCCGACTGAAAACTTGGTTGTACCACACAGAATATGCCTTTATTATTTCTCTCTGTCAGACGTTTGTGAAAACGATAAGGTCAGGACTTTAATTGAACGGAGTAAAAATCTAAGAAAATAATCACCATATCCAGCAGGCGGCGCCAGATAACAGTCATTAAATAATAATGCGAAAAAAACGAAGCACCCATGTATAAATAGCGGTATTGCAACGCAAATTCTTAGGAACATACAGGATAAAGCCAAGATATAAAACTAGACATTTACAAAAGGCCACCTTCAGGTTCACTTCATCTCAGTATTACTGGAAGTCAAGCTTCGTTCATGTGTTAACAGTGCAGTCTCGAAATGAAATTACACAGACCGACATCGTAACGCTAAAACCAAGTAATCTTGTTGGACTTTAAAGCAGAGCCACAGAGATTATTGCTGCAGGTGCCTCCATAACTGGGTGGGCAGGCCGAACACGGTCGCCCCGTCCTGTAAGGAGCTTCTCCGACCCAGTTACCTCTGAAACAGGAAAATGCAAAATGGTCATTATAAAGTGCAAGCCACCCATTCAGTGTGCTTTACGAAAGCCATGACTAAGTTGGTCCTTTAACACATGTATTTGATCTGTTTGCACTTTCATGTTACTCACTGGGATATTAATGACAATCAAATCCAAAGTCTTAATTAGATATTGGACCTCCTCAGCTTGGAATCTGATGGGACTGTTTTATGTTTATATTATAAGAATTTAGCTGGAAGAGTTTCTAGTCTGATGGAGTTGCATTTTAAATCCTAGCGCCTTCTATGAACGTGTCATTACACAGGCCTATATCAAAATTAACTAAATAGTTTGAAATATATTTTGATTCCTGAAAGCTTCCTTAGATGCTCCATAAGCGCTCTTTAAAGTCTGTTAAACTTTGACTGATAAGGAACCAGGAAAATATTATCATATTGTTAAAATGTCACTTCAGTACATATATACATAAATTTGTGTAGTAAAATGTTTCCGATGCTATACTTTTGTTAGCATCTTAATGGTGGATCATTAAGGTTCCAGGATGTTATCACTTACTTAATTGAATAGTTGCAGACGAGGAGGACAGCCTTTCGCCACACACTACCGAACACATTCATGTTTGAGCATCTGTTGATGGCACACCCAATTTGGTTGGTGCTGGCCCACACCATCTGAAACAGACCGTCAAGCATGTGGATGGATACCAACGGCTGGAAGGTAACTCTTCTTCTTTCTCAAAAGTGATGTCATTATTGGAAAGTACCTCCAATATCTTAGATAAACAAGGACTTTTACAACATCAGATCAATTGGACACACTGAGTCATATCAGCAAAACCTGTGTAATAAGTCTTATGTTACAATCTGTAAGATGTCTGTGGGCATATTCTGCATTATTTGTGGATGATTATTATGGTAAATGTTTGCTTTTCAAAGGGATAAAGACAAAAAGAGACTGGAAGCATAGTGGCTGAGGGTTAGTCACCATGAAAATGCAATTCGGTGATACTTTACTTAAAGGAGCACAAATAATGCAGTAGTACACTATTACTTAATGTATTAACTAACCAGGAACTAAGTGCTAGTTTCGTACTGATCCCATGTTCGTTCAGCATTAATCAGTCATAACGGTTGGTATATTTCATACAGTAGTTACTACACTATATTTGTTTATGATTTGATAACTGAGTTACTAAGTTATATGTTTCCCCTCAAGTGAAGTGTTACCATGCAATTCTGTGATATTCATGTCAATGCGCAATAATGCAATAATAATGTTTAAGTGCACTACAGGGCTATTATTTTAATTTATTGTCATATGCAATATTTTATTTTTCTATTATAAGATATTTCTACCCTGAATCTCACTCGCTCCATAAGAGACACCAAATAATCTTTCCTGAATGATCATCACTTTTTCTTCACTTGTATCACTTATTCTCAAACCACTTCTTTTTGTATACCTTATATTGTATGAATTGTGTCTTTATTATCATTTATTACACTGTTTGTCGAAAGCTGGCATAATCCCATTGTACAATGACAGTAAAGATTTTGGATCCTTAAATTTCACCTGGGTGTAGTGGGAACACACAGAGCCACCACAGCGGCTGGGGTAGGAGAAGGAATGTTTCTCATCATGCCAAGATCTCACAAGTTCAAGTATGGACCTGTATCTGTGGGAAGAAATTACCGTTATACAGATACAAAAAATGCTACAGTGAAAGCCTGAAATACAGCGAAAATTATATAGTAAAGTCTGCGGTCTTGAAAGTGTAAAGCCAGTGTGGAGAAATAAAGAAGGATGGGATCCTTAAAAAAAGTCCCATTCCTGCACAACAAACTCATTTTGTTGTGTGGTTCAAATGTAATATTTATGAAATAGTCTATCCGTGTCTAATACATAGTGGATCCCATCTAGTATTTATTCTACTGAAATGTGAAATATATTGTATGAGATATTCAAAGGGCATCAGAGACGTTGCCTCAAGAAGGTGAGCAAATGTTGTTGCAAAAGCAGGAATGACTGTACTGTACCTCCCAGAGCTGATGGCCAGGTTTTGACCCATGAACTTCATGGCCAGAGGTGGGCCGTGTTCCCATATGCACTGCGAGGCCCAGGATTCTGCTGACTTGGCCAGTCTCTCATCCCACACCTATGAACAGCCAGAAACAGCTGTTCAATCCTCTTTTGGGCCTCAGCTGTTCAAACTTGACTGACCTTTCTATTCCCATAAACTCCCGGTGTCACTCATTCTAACAGAACTCAGCTGTTACAGAGAGACAGTTACAAAGTGTCGAATAAAGTCCAAAAACACAAGACAGATGTTTAGAACAAAACAAAAAAGCCAATCCGACGAGTAATTTTGTATGTCATATGCAGATTAGCCTGGCATTTATAAACTATTAAATTTTGACCACATCATTCTGAAAGTGATTTTCTTTTTTATTTCTCAGAATATTTTGAAATATTGCACAGACTGGAAACATAAAAGCAGCCTGTAGGGTTTAGCATATCAAAAACACCAAACACTAAAATTTCTGAAATAAGCCTGGACTAAATGCTAAGGTGCACCGCAGGCTAATCAATGTAAATGTCATTTTGACCCGTTGTCTCGTGCTACATGCTCTGGACCAGCGAGTGCAACACGTGACTCTTACCATATATTCCATATTGGCGGCAGGAGGGAAGACTTGCGATCGGACACGATTGTGATAATCCAACAATGAGCTCATGTCTCTGGAGGAAATGTACCGCTTCCGTCGGCTACGTGGAATGCTAATGCTGGGCAGGTCACTAAACTCGGGGTCTGCCGCTGCCCCAGTGGCCGCCGGGACTGGAGAGATGGTACCATTGGTTGGCACCACCACGGACCCAATGAGTGGCATCACCCACAGGACGGCGCTTAGGAAGAGCTGAGTGCATGCCATGCCCAGAATTACCTGAGGGAATCACGCTGGCTTTAAAATCAGGGTAGAACACAGCTCTGTATTGCCAACAACTCATTCGTAAAGCAAAGAAAAGCAAAGCAAAAAAATCTCTGAACAAGTCAGTTTTACTCTGCAATTACACAGGACCTTACATACTATGAAATATGGAAGCAGGTATTATCAATATTTATAGCGCTCATGTGTTACTCAAATACAAAACTATTTGGTTGCAGAGTCAGTATCTTTAATCAGATGTTGTTGGACAGATTAACCTGATATTACGTCTGTTTTATTATTTATTAAGTGCAGTAGAAGTTTGACCCCAGATCGTTCTACAGACCAACAAGATCCTCAACAATAGATTAAAAGACACTTGAGCACTAAATATAATTTGACCATCATCTCGCCCAAATATACACACAACAAATATGAGTAAACATTTGCAACAATGTATAAGTTTTTGTCTAGTTTATGCATTAAAATATTATCTTTCAGAGAATGTAGCTTTTAAATATGAAAATACTCTACTGTAGTAGAACATTAGTAGAAAATGCTGGTATATTAGGTTGCGAACTGAAATAAAATGTACTGCCTAAACCACAAAGCATCAGATTTAAAATGAACACAATCTCAGTCAAAAGCTAGCATGAATGTTAACAATCAATAATAACACAATTAAATCAATCACCCCATCTGTTCATTTTAAACATGAAACATGCTTTACGCAAACTGCTGATTCAGCAGATTCCAATTTCCAACTTAGATGAATAGAGAGGGAAAGAAATATAGATAGACAGGCAGCTGTTTCTCTTCTGAGACAGCACATACCTTCATCACTGTATCCAAGACATGGGGCAGGAGAGAGAGAAACCAGAGGAGTGTAGAGATCCACACTTAAACACCGGGCTTTGCAGACAGCCCCTTCTGGCACGCGGTGGAGAGTGAAGGAAGCCAGCTGACGCACAAGCTCTCTCCGCATCTGCCCCTCTGGGGCTGTCCCTGCGCTTAAAAAAGCCATCTGAGAGGCGATTTGGGTTTGCCGCAGCACAATATGTGAGACGCTATAGATTTATCAAAGTATGTCATGGGGGAGCTCTGTCAGTCTGAGAGGTGAATTAAATGTATAACGTGTGAGATAGGATTGTGAATTCCTCAATGCATAGTATGGGAGGTGGATTGTATTTCTTAAAGTACAATATCTGAGCAATGAAACATGTATCATCAATCATTTCAGAGAAGTGATTTAGCTTTATCTGTAAATGATTTATTTATTATGCAAATCACTTAAATAAGTGTTCTCGTGCACAACTTAAAGTATCAACAAAAGAAATATTTGTTGCTTTTGCAACAATGTTGAAGTATTCTCAAAGTATTTTGTCACTCTTCTTAAAATTGTAGGAGAAATCATAAATGTACCGTCTGAAAATGCTAAAGAGGGAGAAAAGTTAAGAATTCACTTTAACCAAAGGAGGAATTCACTCCTGTGTCAGTATCCGAGGGCTGTGTCAGTATCCGAGGGCTGTGTGTAATGTCCAATGTCACAGTCTCTCTCTATAGGTCTCTGCGCCATGGATGATATTCTATTTCGTCAGACTGTGTACAAGGCCCTCAGCAACCCTATGTAAGGTCCTGTATCTTCAGACAGTCCAGACAGCTCTTTTTACCATAGTAAAATTGCATACCCCAGAATGTCTTGACGGCTTTCTGTACCATGCACAATATACTATACCCCCAGACTGTCTAGATGGCTCTCTGTACCATGTGTAACATAATATACCCCCAGACTGTCTAGATGGCTCTCTGTACCATGCATGACATACTACTATACCGCCAGACTGTCTAGATGGCTTTCTGTATCATGTGTGACATACTATACCGCCAGACTGTCTAGATGGCTCTCTGTACCATGCATGACATACTACTATACCACCAGACTGTCTAGATGGCTCTCTGTATCATGTGTAGCATAATATACCCCCAGACTGTCTAGATGTCTCTCTGTACCGTGTTTGACATACTATACCGCCAGACTGTCTACATGGCTCTCTGTACCATGCATGACATACTACTATACCGCCAGACTGTCTAGATGGCTCTCTGTACCATGTGTGACATACTATACCCCCAGACTGTCTAGATGGCTCTCTGTACCATGCATGACATACTACTATACCGCCAGACTGTCTAGATGGCTCTCTGTATCATGTGTAACATAATATACCCCCAGACTGTCTAGATGTCTCTCTGTACCGTGTTTGACATACTATACCCCCAGACTGTCTAGATGGCTCTCTGTACCATGTGTAACATACTATACCCCCAGACTGTCTAGATGGCTCTCTGAACCATGTGTAACATACTATACCCCCAGACTGTCTAGATGGCTCTCTGAACCATGTATAATATACTTTCTCTCCAAACTGCATGTAGTGCCAAACTGCACAAAAGTTGACAAGCCTCTACTGCCCAAAGAATGACGTCTGGACAGCTCACAAAGCTGTAGGACAGTAACACATTGGCTGACCATTTTATATATGACTAACAATAAAACAATATATTGGCACAGAAATCAGTTTCATATGATGGTACATGTGATGATTGATTAATAGTGTCTGAAAGCTTTGAAGATTAAAGACATTCAGTGTTTATCACAGAGTTTGTCATGTTTTATTAACATTTTTGTGAAGCATCCATAGACTCTGCGAATCATTTTCCTACCTGTATTATACACATTTTTAGGGCAAATGGAATGATCAGGGATGCAGTCCCTCTTTAAAAATAAATGTTTGCTTAAATCTTTTGAACAATTATATGACTATTTCTTCCAAGGCTGTGTTTTGAAATTTGTTTTAGTAACTTTGACTTGAATTACATTTACAACAATGTTAAAAAATCATATGCACTGAAATCATCTTATGAAAGGTCATATTTCTGCACGCTAAAGGATCATTGAAAAATCACATTTTCAAAAAGTTTCATGATTATGACCAAAAATGACCATTTCCGGACCATTTCCAAGAACAACTTCTAGTTTATGGTTAATTTATTTTTAATTTGTCTAAGGTAATTTTGGATGGGCCTTAAGGCGCAAGTCCGAAATACACAAACCGGCACCAGACACCAATAAATGGTCCGTGGACACATTTGGCCAGACCTCCATCGACCAGCCATCCGGGTTCCTCTCAACATGATGTCAGAATGCAAAGAATGTGACAAGCGCTTGGAAACAAGGGACAGCAATCACAGGGTATTCTCTGAGACAATAGAAAAGGGAGTGCAGAAGCACTGATACAGAGCTACAGTACTGTGCGTAAGTCTTAGGCAGCCATGTTTATGTTTACGATGCTTAAATGATCTTCATGTTGGTCTTAAACTATGATATTATATCTGTAAACGTCTGTCATCTTAACCACCTAAAAACATGGAATGGCTGCGGTGTCCCCCCATAAGAGGTGTGGGAATGAAAGCGGTGTTCTAGCCATCCAATAAGATCAGTAACTTTTCAGGGAACAGAAGAAACTCCTGCTAGTTTTTATTGTGTCGCTCTTAATTTACATATATTACAAAGTTAAAATGTGTATTTTTTTGTTCCGAGCAAATATAAACTTTCTATCTGGATAGATCGCTTTAAACATTCCCTTTGACTGCCTAAGACTTTTGTACAGTGTTGAATGTTTTTGTGACCTGGCCTAAAATGGACAGACATCAAGGAGAGGAATGTTTGCATAAAACGGACGTCTTTGACAACCATGAATCAGAGAAATAAATAAGGTTGTGATCCACTTGTCAGGACAACTCAAAAAACTCAAAAACTGAAAAAAAATGAAAGAGTAATGGTTTGAAAATGCTTTTCTGAAAGCTGTGGTTCTTTTTATTGTCCTATACAACACTGTTCAGGTCCACAACAAAAGGCCTTTTTGTTGCATCTTGGAATTTAAAGACCCCTGACAGGACCCGCAGGAAGATGTCGAACCTTTCATCCCATTGTCCAAAACACCGAGAATCATTTTTCTATCTACTCCTCAGTAGCCAATTTATCTTATTCTGACATTCAGGGCAGAAGAATATATACCATTCTTGAAGAAAAAACAACCACTTTAAACTGCTATTCAACCCACACACTGAACAATTCCAGGTTATCTCCTGCCACTTTAGCCTGAGTACTAAATGTGAATATAGGCTCAGTAGATATATTCTGCATCGGTAGATATATTCTGCATGCACAGATTGAGTTGAGACCACTAATCAGAAGTTTTCGCTTTTGTTTTTCCACTGGCAATAATTACATTTATGGCTTCCCACCACGATAGATTAGGACACCAACGACACTAAAATGCTGAAGTACACAGTCACTGGTGTGGTAGAAAAATTATAAATAAACCTTCCTAATAACTCTAGTTAAGCCACTTAGAAGAACATTAAGGACCTATGGCTGTATCTACTCCACTGAACCACAACTGAACAACAAATTTCCAAAGCTAACTTAGTCCAGAGGATAAATTTTCAAGAACACTTCTGCGGATTTAGTGAGTTTTAAAAATTTAACATAAGTTGGTTTACTTGAGTTTTGGTTCCCAGTACCATTTTACACAATAAAAAGTGAACTGGGTGGCTCAGACACTTGCACTTCCCATTCTCCTAATCTCCTGGCCTCTAGCTCAATGGCCTATTGTCTGAATGTTTATATTTACACACTAAGGACTGGGGTCACCCACATCACAAAAGTAGCAGTGACATAAGCTGACTAAACATATTTGGATAATTCAACAGCAGAGGTAATTATTTGACCAAATTGTCATGCATTTGGCGAAGGGTGCAGCCTATTATGTAGTATAATTTAAGAGTTGGGATACAAATGCAGAGAACTGACAGTATTTCGAGCAAAGCAAGTTAGATCTTTTCAAACTGCAGCACAGTTCCACTGTAATTCCATTACCACAGAACTAGAAATTTGCACACTTTATGAGTAAGACTTGCACAGAGGCCTGACTGACACACAAGCTCATTGGCGTTCTTGAAGAATAGAACCTAGCTAGAACTAAAGGACTAGATGAATGGCACTTTAAGACATCGAAACATCAAAAGATCTATTTGAAGTGTACAAAAAAATTACATTTGTATTCAATTTAAACATACTTCCTACAAAGATACTGGACAGATAAATGGCTTTAAAAATGGAATTTATATGGTGAGAAGTGAAGGAACACAAATGACATTTTCAGCATTACTGCTGTGTTATAGTTAACGTACAACAACATATCCCTTATTTGAAAATGTATAAACATGAACTTGATGGTGAAGTTTTACTACTGTGAAGAACTGAAATGGATACTGACATGCACATATAACAACAATCACATCCATGAAGATTCTGGCACCTAGTTAACATTTCTCCCATCACATATAAAATGACAAGAAAAAGCATGGAACAAGTGGAATTATAGAATCAAACTATGGCATGGAACCGTCACAGAATGTTCTGGTAATAGAACTGCCCACTGACTTTTGTCAAACTTACATCCATGTGGGCAAGTTTTTTTTTGCCATCTCATCTTTTAGCAGCTCAGCACTGAGGAAGGACACATTTATATGCACAAACACACACGCAGTTTGCTTAACGTCAAGTTTGCCACTATACTGTGGGAAATGGTGAGACAACGTTTGCCTCTACACGCAGCATGTGCATAAATCCCAGACTTCACTATCGGTTGTCAGAACATCCCGTTTCTCAACCAAGGAATCCTACTTCCAGGCAAAGACCAATGGTTTCATTCTGGCAGCCAGAAAACAAATTTACTTAGTGATGTAACCATTTACGGCGAACAAGCAAGACAGTGATTAAGCTAGGCGGCCCAGAGGAAGACAAGAACATTTCGAGGTTTCGGATGAAGTTTTAATTGTGAAGTAACAGTGATGTTGAACGTGTAGTGGTTATCTTCTTCAGCGTTGTTTTATGGTTTAATGATTAATGATATCCATATGTGGTGCTTAAAT